GTGTGGTTAAAAAGTAATGAGATTTTTTTGGTTTATGTATATTATTATTTTATTAATAGAATGTATGGTTGAAATGAAAAAAGAGAAAAAAAAAATGAGAATGAGAATGTGAAAAAATTGGTGTCAAACAGGGGCTAAGAATCAAATAAATTGAAGAAAATGATTAAACACAATTTATTTGTGTAAGTTTCGGTGTAATTGATTGAAGAGGATTTTTAGTTTGGTGCACGATTGGTGCAAAATGGTGTAAAACTTATTTCAAATTTTGGTGCAGCGTTGGAGATGGCCTTAGAACGCTGAACCCGATCCTAGAATAGCATATTTCCAAAAAATCAGATGCTAAGCTCGTTGCACAATAACAACGCTATTCATGCCTAGAAAATTATACTAATTCGAAAACATTAATTTAAAACATGGAACGCTATTACTGGATTCAAATAGAAGTAGATATTGGAGAAACAGACCAAAATTGTTCTTCATTATTATTATGCTAGCATGTGTTGAAATGGAGCAAATATATTAGTTATTTTTTAGCTTATTTGAAAATATGATGAATAAATAAATCATTTTACGTTCTCCAATGAATTTTTTGGACGAAAATGCATCAAGGATAAATTGTGCTAAATAATAAAAGCTTGATGATGATGATGATGATGATGATGATGATGATGATTGAGGATATAAGTGTGACAATTAATAAAAGTTGAGGACCATGAGAACAATTCTAAAGTCATACAAATGAAAATAAGGTGTCAATATTACCAATTTCAATTTTTAATTAAAAGGATAAAAAAGGACGATCATGAAACCCTATCTAAGCAAAGCTGATTCATTCGATTTTGGTGGGTTAATTCCTTAAATAGTCGCTAAATATTTTTCTTAAAGTTTCACACGGATCACTAAACTTAAAAGATGTCCCCGTTAGTCACTTAACTTTAAAAATTGATATCTCATCCATCACTGTGTAAATGACGCTTGCAAAATTAGAAGGAATTGATGATATGTCTAACGGTATGGCTAATATGGTACACATTTGAAAATCATAAATCAGATTTTTACATAAATCATACTATAATTAGTTAGAAATTATAATAATCCAACCCATAAAGTTTGCGAAAATTAGATTTCGAAAAACTCTACATTTGAATAAAATCACGCATTCGATAGTCATTAAAAAACACTCAAATATGCATTTGACGATTTATGAATAAAAAAGGTCACATACCTATAGATTCATATTCAACGTCACCAAATCCTTTCTATTCTACAAGCGTCATTTACACGGTGATGGATAAGGTACCAATTTTCAAAGTTAAACTCCACTCTCATTATAGTTCACAAAATTTACAAGTTACAGCCCACACTGATTAGTGTGGGCCCCCACTGATTAATTAATCAGTGTGGGCTGTAAGATGTTAAGGACTGTACAAGCAGCAGCCCTCATCTTTTTTATGCTCCAGGCTAGTTTGGACTGGCTAGAAAAGAGCCGAAGCAATCATTTTTCTCTCTTTTTCCCTCACATCTTTACTACCTTTCTGGTAGGCAACATTTTAGAAGAGTCCTAGCATCATCAATATAATGAGTCCATTAAGAGTCTGCCAATCAAGTTGACATCTGTTGTCCCTATTTAGCTACTCCTTGGCTCGCACCTACTAAATTTTTGACACCTTGACACGTCAACTCTTGTTAGAAAATGGGAAGGCACAAGGTGATGATATCACTTTTACTGTACTATGTTGGCATCTTCCCATTTGATAACAAGAGGGAACATATCGAGGTGTCAAAAATTTAGTGAGGGACAGTTAAGCAGGGACAATAAATCTCTAACACTTAATAATTTTTATAAAGGAGCATCTATATAATAGACGAGGATTCAAAGATTAATCGTAAAAACCACATTAAGTTACAAGAAAAGTTCCACTTGTAATAGTAAAATTGAATTCTACACTCGTTCTTGGGAAGATTTATTCGAACAAGATTAAATACAAAGAACATTAAATGTATCCTTCTTACACGAAAAAAAATGAAATCTTTTTGAGGTTCCTTTTATCTATTTCTTCCCTCACATTCAAGATTTGGGGAACTAAGAGCAATTCCAACGTGTGCACCAAAACACCATTTTGCACCAAATTTTGGTGCAAAGTCACTCCAATGTGCCCCAAATTTTGCACCAAAATGGTTAAATACAACTTTGCCATTCTTTTTCACTTGGTAAAAAAATTGGTTAAGGGTATTTGTGTCCATTTTTGTTATACATTTTTAAATACAATAAATTATTATTATTATTATTTGAGCATTTGTGGGATGAATATTCAAATTTCAATAATTAAATTGCAACACTATTTCAACTTCGTAATATCATGGTATCGAAATTTGAAACGCATTGCACTATTTTTTAATGACATGATTTAATATTTTCTTATTTGTGGTGTTTCTATTAATTGTAGTATATATTTTTATTTTTTTTAATGAATTTGATATTTTCTCTAATTTAATGTAATTATTTATTTAGAAATTTATGTAGTTGTAAAATAAATAGATAAATAAGTTTTCAAAGAAATAAATTATTAAGAATCAAAGAAATTGAAGAAAATGATTAAACACAATTTATTTGTGTAAGTTTTTGTGTAATTGGTTGGAGAGGATTTTTAGTTTGGTGTAAGATTGGTGCAAAATTGTGTAAAACTTATCTCAAATTTTAGTACAGCGTTAGAGATGGCCTAAAAACGCTGAACCCGATCCTAGGATAGTAGATTTCCAAAAATCAGATGTTAAGCTCGTTGCACTATAACAACGCTATACATGCCAAGAAAATTATACTAATTTGAAAACATTAATTTAAAACATGGAACGCTATTACTGGATTCAAATAGAGGTATATATTGGAGAAACAGACCAAAATTGTTCTTCATTATTATGTTAGCAAGTGTTGAAATGGAGCAAATATATTAGTTATTTTTTAACTTATTTGAAAATATGATGAATAAATAAATCAGTTTACGTTCTCCAATGAATTTTTTGGACGAAAATGCGTCAAGGATAAATTGTGCTAAATAATAAAAGCTTGAAGATGATGATGATTGAGGATATAAGTGTGACAATTAATAAAAGTTGAGGACCATGAGAACAATTCTAAAGTCATACAAATGAAAAATATGGTGTCAATATTACCAATTTCAATTTTTAATTAAAAGGAAAAAAAAGGACGATCATGAAACCCTATCTAAGCAAAGCTGATTCATTCAATTTTGGTGGGTTAATTCCTTAAATAGTCACTAATTATTTTTCTTAAAGTTTCACACGGATCACTAAACTTAAAAGATGTCCCCGTTAGTCACTTAACTTTAAAAATTGATATCTCATCCATCACTATGTAAACGACGCTTGCAAAATTAGAAAGAATTGATGGCATGTCTAACGGTATGGCTAATATGGTACACATTTGAAAATCATAAATCAGATTTTTACATAAATCATACTATAATTAGTTAGAAATTATAATAATCCAACCCATAAAGTTTGCGAAAATCAGATTTCGAAAAACTCTACATTTGAATAAAATCACGCATTCAATAGTCATTAAAAAACACTCAAATATGCATTAGACGATTTATGAATTAAAAAGGTCACATACCTATAGATTCATATTCAACGTCACCAAATCATTTCTATTCTACAAGCGTCATTTACACGGTGATGAATAAGGTACCAATTTTCAAAGTTACTCTCAACAAAAGCCACTCTCATTATAGTTCACAAAATGATAATTATATTCACATCACAATTTTTGCTACTTACACCACATTTTAATTCAATTAAGATTCTCAGTATTTGCTCATTATAATCCTTATATTCATAACTTTTTTTCGATGCATTCTTATCAACAACATTTCCTTAATTAGATCATATCATCTCTAATAATGGTTGTTGTCCAAAAGTTCCCATCATATATTCTTTAGAAAAAAGCAAAAAATACAAGTGTGACAAAATATTTTTCCTCAGTTCAAAGTATGCAAATATAATATTTTAAAATAAATCATCTGCAATAACTATATATTGCTATTAATTAAAAGTTGAAGATATGAACTGACGAAAAAGGGTCAAAAGACATAAATATTATAAATAACCAAAGATTTAGAACTTTAAGTATAATTAAAATGTGATGTAATAAATAAAAAATGAGGTGTGAATATAATTAGCTTTTACGGATTTATAAAGAAAGGAAAAAAATAATAATATAGTTTATTTTTTAGAAAATCTTCCTCAAGAAGTTATCGCGTATCCTCTAAAAACATTTTTAACCAAAAAAAAAACATTTCTAAAAATTAATCTAAAACCAAACAACCTTACAAGCAGCTTCTTAATCTTTGAAAGAACTTTTAACTTTTCAAAAACCCGCCCAACAAGTCCTTAATTCCTTGTCAAGTCATCCCTATCTACACTTGGAAAATCGGTCTTTACTTCCCTAAACTCGGTTTGGCAGGTAACATAAAGCAACACTTCATACCGTTGTGACTACTGCTGTAGTTCATTTGACATGAAAATATGTCCCTACCAAGTCTAAAGGATGTGCCTTGCAGAAGCATAAATCACAATAGAACAACCTTTTATATCTGAATTTAGCATACTTTTGGAAGGTAAGCTTAATATAAACACTCCACTAGACATTGGATCCAAATATCCAATGCTTTCGGGAAAATTGGAACATATTATTTAACTTTTACTTGAATTTACCAATGACTGTGTTTAAATTAAATATGGATAGTCTCGTTCTTCAACCATCAAGGATAAATATTACAATCATACTCTTAGAAAAAAAGAAAAAATACATACTCACCAGGGTTAATGGCTGCATGTAACTCCACGGTTTTGTTATTTTTCTTCAGTAGAGAAAAATGAATTGAAAGTACTAAAGCTAAATATATAAATGCTCGATGTTTTCAGCAAAAAAATTGGCACGCAGTGAACCCACACAATGACACAAAGAAATTGATGGAAATCTACACTGCAGCGGACTGCTTATCCTCGTACTCATCAAGGTTAAGTGCTTCCAGCAGCTTTGGCCATGACTCCGGGAGACCACCAGGCAAATTAAATTCCATCAACTTCCCTTGACTACGGTAAAATTCCTCCACTGGCTGACTCTGAACACCAAAAGGAACGGAATTGCATAAGCTTAAGCAGAAAGTAGAGATATTTCCAAAGACCAATACAATAGTATTTTAAATGCTCGACTTCTTGATTTTTAATCACACTTCAACAATCAGTTCACCCCAAAAAAATGCGGTACACTATAAACAACTTTTTCCCTCAAATTATTTTTAAAAGAATGACTATTTTGATGCCAGCAAGCAACTGTTCGATGGGAATAAGTGAGCACTGGGGCAACAAAAATTACTGCAGTAATTTAGCTATACTGAATTAAGGAATGAAAACACCAATTCTATCATTATGCGTCCTTGAGTCCTTAACATAACATGGTTGTTTCCAGAAGCCAAATACCTTGTCTGAACAGTCCCAAGGCAGCCAATTGAAGGGGGGAAAAAACCAAGTTATTACATGAACAAGGCATCTTTACATTGATTAGATCAAGAAGCTGGCAGTTAAAATGCTTCCCCAGAGAATAGTAGTTTGATTACCCAGCACTTGCTCAATCAATGTGATTTATAGAACCCACAGCAGAAAAGGAAATGCTGATGAAACTTGAAAGTGATTAAAATATAATTGAAGTTTTCAATTAATGATGTAATTGACGACCAAGTCACTTGGGCACATAGTACAACTTGAAGAGTGAATGAAATTAGGATTTTCCCAATGTCGTTAGGATGAATTTGATTTTTAAACCTCACAAAATGCTGTTTAGTGTATGTTGTCCATCCTAGGCTAGGTCAAATCCTCCTTCACCCCTCCTTCACCCCACTTTTTCTACAGCGAAATCATATAATTTAAGAGAAGTAATCTTCTATTTTTACTCCCCCTTCACCCATGTCAGTCCATTTGAAGAGCAAAGAAAAGCGTGATAGAGGGAGCATAGTGTGGTACCTTCTCATAGTATACACGGAGTCTTTCTCTAACAATAGCTTCAGCATCATCAGAACGAGTAATGAGCTTCGAAACACACTGTGGAGGCGGAAGAAGTGGATCCATACTAATATCAGGATTTCCATTTTCACCCTTGACATTGATACTTGCTACATTGAAATTCTTCCCACATTGGCTGCAGATCCTTCGTCCAAGGCATTTCTCAACCAGTACTGTTTCTGGAAGCTTGAGATTTACCACCAGGTCAATGTCTGTTACATCATCCAATATTTCCTGCACATAGAAAAAAGGAACTCTTGAGAATTGCACATGAACTAAATGCAATGGAGATATGCAATGGCTTCCCATTTTCCATCGGTAATAGTGATTTTTTTAAATGAACACGAAGCATGAAAAAAAAAGGACCTGATCATATAACATGATACCAGTGAATGTCCAGAAATTTGCTCAAAGCACGGAATACACAACAAACATTAAGTTCTTGTTTGATTTTGATTCCCAGATAATCACAAATTTTTCAGACTCATTTTCAACCACATATTCTTCAAAAAGATAAAAAAATCATTCATCACGTTTTCCCATAACTTTTCCCTATTTTTTAACCACAATTCACCCAACAAAAACACTTTTCAAAGAATCACTTCTCAAAAAAATCTTTATCAAACAAGACCTGAATAAGTGAAGTGCTTGGAGACCTAGGAAACAAGATCATAGTCTGACAACCGTGAGCTAAGTCATTAACTGTTACCGACAAGAAATCAAAACAACATAAATACTTCTTAGCATTCATAAATTGAAAACCTATAAATCATAGACATCTTGATCTTTTCTTCTCTTTTCTCAATTCTGTGAGCCAGAGCATACACTATGTATTAAGAAGTTCCTTCTAAAATAAAGCAAGGAGCCCAACCAAGCCTAAGATATGGAGGATCATTAGCAAGACTATAAAATCTGTTCTCAAAATTAGCAGCAATTCTCTTCTGAAAAGAATACCTTCTTATAGACAGCTTAATATTTAGTATATCATATCTGTCATGACATATCTCGAGGAACATTAAAGGAGAGAGTCTGTGAGAAAAGCTAATATAGACAAATAAATTACTTACTGCTTGCCTAACTGTTCGGGGAAATCCATCTAGTATAAATCCTGATTCACCTTTAGCTTCCCCTGTCTCAAGCCTCTTTGACAATAAGCTTATAATTATCTCATCAGATACCAATTTCCCTTGGTTCACAATCTCTGTAAGCTGCAAAAGAGAACCAAGAAGGACGAATCAACAACGTAAAACACCAAGTTTAAATATATAAAAGATGGACCCAAACTGCATCATAATCAGCACATGTTTGTCAATGTAATTAACCATTAGGGACTAGTAATACACAGAATCAAGACAATTGCATAAAAGTACAAGTACACAAGAAAGAGGTTTGTATAAGAAGGCGTAGAACCGGGGACAAACCTTGTGGTGTTCAGAAAGACCCTTTTGTTATTAATAAGGCATTGCCAATTATTACATTACAGCACTCAAATTTTCCATGAAACACTCTTGAGTTTCTAATTCCGACAGATCACAAATTTATGGAAATCAGTTCAAACCTGAAAACCATGCATCTATATATATCCACTTTGAAAAGGAAAAAGACCTTTAACTTTAATTGCAAGATATAAGACAAACTCCTGATCTAACAACAAACAAAGAAATATCTCAATTCCTCATTGCAACGGCATCCCAGAAGTCATATTTAACATGTACTGGCAATGCTGATATTTACACTATATATAGGCACACAGGTTAAGGGGCGGCATACCTGTTTAGAAAGTGGTCCAGTGGCGGAGAGCTCTTCGCGGACGAGATCTCCAGTGGCGATGTGGGGGACACCAAGGAGGGTGGAGAGGCGGCTGGCGAAGGTACCCTTTCCGACGCCGGGGCATCCCAGGAACACCCACTGAACATGTTTGCCCTTGGTATCTACGAAGGGAGTGAAGGTTTCGGAACTTAGGGGTGGGGCTGCCGTTGACGCGGACGTGGATAGAGACCTTCGGATAACATAATTAGTAAAAGAGGAAGAGGAGGAGGAGGATCTGAGAGCGCGGATCAAGGCCGCCATTGGTGGTGGTGGGGGAAAGTTTTCACGGCGTCGTTGGAGGGGATCTTACTTTCCCGGTGAAGATGGGGAGGAACCGTTATCAAGTTATCATTTAGGCTTTTCGTTAATTAACGGGTAAATGGGAATCTTTTTACAGATTCCAAATTGATGCGGGAAATTAGGGCAGCGTTTGTAGTTCATTGACTTGACTTCAAAAGCTTTAACCGAGTGTATTGTTAAATTTCGCTTTAGTCTATTTTCATTGGACCATGTTAGTTGTACAATCAAGGTTGACAACCATTCTCATGAAGGGATTCGCTTTTTTCTTTTTTCTTTTTTTGAATTGTTTAAACATTGCAGATCCCGCACACATGTGAGAGGTTGTACAAATAGCATTTCCCATTTTCATTTTGGGCAAAATTTTACATAAAGTATCCGAGTAGATTTAAATTGTTGCTTTTTTCAACTCATCCGAGAGAATTCTCAAAGAAACAAATAACAAACATGCATGGAAGCTATTATCAAGATCAATTATATGGAAGCATTGATTTATACATTTCTCTTAGTCTCGACTCTATTGCTAATTTTTTCAGTATTTTTTTTTTCGAGAACAGCCTAACTACGTACTTATATGATGGAATCCCTTTTTATTTTAAATATAAATGAAAAAGAATAGTTTCTCCTATGTCTTCGCATCAAAAAAAAAAAAAATTATTCTCTCCTAAAAAGAATTTTTTCCGTAAAATCTCTTTTAATAACTATTCGATCCAAAATTCCTATCAGACCCTGTTTGATGCACATTATTAAGTGAAGAATATATTTTAAATAGTGATTTGATGGAAAGTATGTAATGTTAAAAAGGGAAAAGTTTTGGATTTGCATGTAATATTATTTTATTGAAAAATGTGTGATTGAAAATGAATTTTTGTAAGAATATGAATTAAACAGGGTGAAACTAAATATAAAAATCCACTCACTTATGCTGAAGCAATTTATAAACCATAGGCTAAAAACACGTGAAATCAAAGGGTATTACTTGAATGCTACTGCGGGTACATACCAAGAAATGATCAAAAGAACTGTATTTGCTAGAGAATTAGGAGCATTCTATATGTCTCTACTATGTCCCATTTAATCTTTATTTTGTTTTTTCTCCTACTTACCTCAAATAACCCACTTAGACGAACACATTTGTCTTCATTTTTAATAACATATTTAAATTGGTTTCGTTAACTGCTATCTTATATGTTTTCCGAAGTGGAAATACAAATATATTTGAAGTTAAATATATTTAAAATGTAATATAAATGTGCATGGTCCATCTCCTATGTGTTGGGAAATATTTGCATGTGTTCGCAAATAAAATTTAAATATAAATGTAGTATAAGTGAAATTGGGAAAATATGTGCATAGTTCATCTTACGCTGACTTTCATCTACATTGTTTTTTAGTAGATAAGAATAGTTTGTAATGCAAAGCTGTTACACGTACATTTATTTTATACATTAAGAGCATGTTTGGTACAGATTCTCATTCTCTACAGTAAATCAATTCTCATTTTCAATCACACATTCTTCAATAAAATAATATTTTTCATCACATCAATACTTTTTTCTTCTTTTTCAACCACACATCTCCCATCATATCACTATTCAAAAATCAATTATTCCCCCAAAAATCCCTACCAAACACACTCTAAGTTTGACATTTATGATATGTCAAAATCATCGACATTGTCAAATCAATGTCCATAATTTTGACATATCAAGAAATGTCAAAGTTATTTAATTATTTGTAATTTGTTTGTTTTATATCGGACAAAGAAGTGGGGGATGATCCAGTCGAAGATATCTTAAAGGCATGTGCTTGCTAGGCAACAGATGATGTAGGTCTTCTCCGGCCGGTACGACGTTTTTATTATGTACCATAACATAAATGCATCTTAATGGAATGTGACTATAAGTTGTATTGAAGAAGCTAAAACATAAATTTTTTTTTTTTTTTTTTGAAAGCGTTAATCATTATCTTTTTAGAATTATTCTAATGATCTAAAATTTCAAAAATAAAAATTTGACTCTCAAATAGATTAATCTTTTATATGATTTTACAATTAATCCAAGCACTGAATAAATGAGAAGGGAATTAGTTGAAAATTTAATTAATGTCACACGTGCAAAAATCTACATTAGGGTAGTTAAATAAAAATATATATAACTTGCAAAAAAAGGAAACAAAATTAACCTTAAGAATCCTAATATATAACGGCCAGTTTAAATAAGGAAACAATTCGGTCCTCTCCTATAATGATTAACATTCTCATATGCTGTTATAAAACGGAGAATGCGTGCATGAAACATTAAACATTCTTAAAAATAGTTTCAAAGTGANGATCAAGATAAATTTGAGGAGTCGACTTCAAAACCTATAAATCTTGATTGTGGGACTACTCAATCCGTGGTTGATGACGAAGAAAACAAGAATGGAGGCAAAACGTTTCGAAGGAAGATTGGAACTGAAGATGCAAAGCGGAAAGTTGACGCAAGAAGTCGAAACAAAGGTCCGTGTTCGGGTTCGGATGAAGCAAAGTTTGAGGCCACAAAGAGGAAGTTCGAGGAGACGAGTCAACATGCCAAGAAGGCGAAAAGAACGATACAGTTGGTTGATTTTAAAGATATTCCACAGCCAGTACTGCCTGTTGATGAAAAAAGCTGCAAGAGAGGATTTCGCGGAGGTTTCAAGAATTCGAGTTTTGGGAGACGCTAATGTTCTTTTCATTTTGTTCTATAGTTTGATGATGTCAATTTGATAGGCAATGATATTAACTCTTTTGAATGTAAGAATTATATGTTTAGTGTCATAATATCCAAAGTTTTTTCTGATTTGTTGATTAACACTTTAGGTTTTTGCGAATTATATGCTTTACACGGAGTCGATGTCTTTCATCGAAGTTGAATCCTTGTTGCTTATAGAAGATTGTATTGAGGGAGTCGTACCATTCCTCGACCATATGACACGTTCAATATGCTACAATGACCAAGATTGTAGAGAACTACAGACAAATTTGCTACTTTGTTGTGTTCAGTTTTATTAATTCAATGTATACTAAAAACATAAAATTTCACGAAAACAACTGAAGTAGACAGCAGTTAAGAACATGCTTCTGACACAAACTCAATTAGGCATAAATCCATTAAACACTGTCTATATTTAGTTACAGATAATGCAGAGTTCTTTCTCTTGTCCGCCATTTCAGCTACAATTTTATCCGTCATAAATTGGAAGCGCTCATCCTTTGTAACATTGGAATAGTTAATTTTTAATGGACTGTTTGACAGGCGGTACTGATAAGTGTATTTTATACACTTATTCGAGATCAAAAATATTGATATTTGGCCATTGTTTTGACAAAATATTTTTTAAATTGTTGTATTTTATGTTATATAGGTTAAACTCAATGATTGAACGAGGAATTAGAAGAAACAAAAGAAAATCAAGGAAAAAAGACAATGTCCAAAGTTTGAGGACCAAATTGCAAATTCAATAGTTGATTCGAACCACGAGATGATACTTTGAAGATTGATATGAGACATTTGGATGAAATTAGAACTCAAAAATGAATGGAATATGATCAAAATATTATCACAATCAATGTCCAATCGACAAGTTATATTCCAGATTTTTATTCGAAAATTGAGACCCATTTTTGGCATTGTAAACGTCTGAATTCAAAAAATTATATTTTTAGAAAAGTTGCAACCCTTTGAGCTATTTCCAACTCACTTTGAATCGCTCCAATCGGATATTGAGAGAGAAAGTTATGACCACAATACGGAGAGCTATGCTGGGACAAAAAAAATCCGCGCGAATGAAATTTTCCTTATTCGATTGACGTTCTTTTGGAAACCAAATTGAACGTGATTTTCAACCAATTTTCTACTCCTATAAATACATAACAACAGAATACATATTTGGACGAGACCTAGAGGACGAAATTTTGAAGATTGGAGAGCATAGAACGAGGCAACAAACACAAAATTCTTCTCCAAGGCGTGAAGATCCAAATCCATAATTAATTGGGTGATGTTTTTCTTGATTCTTTTTCATGTTTTCTTCTTTCTTCTATACTAATACTAGACTTGGTTAGTTAGTACTTGTGAACGATGAACCTTGTAACTTGATGTTTTTATCTTTAGTTTCATATATTTGAATCAAAAACACATTTTTGAATTATAGAATGATTTATATGAATTAATTGCCTTCATGATTATAGTGCACGATAACTATGTGAGTTTGGTGATTTGTTTCATACGTTCGAGAGAAGGAAAATAAATTCGACATATATAAATCATCATATGATTCGATATGGGATATAAATATACCGTTATGCCTTATGAGAATCTTTAAGTGTTCACAAAAACTCGTGCATTCTTATATGTTCGCATTTGTCATATAGATACAATCGGGTCATATATGAGAATAAGTTTGACTTTACTCGAGAGAGACTGTTGAATAATTTAGGAGCATTTATTCGTCGTAATTGGATTTGTATGGTCAAATTATAAAAGTAGGGTTAGAAATAATTATTACTTGCGGATTCGGGATCCTAGTGCGTCATTCATTCATAAATTACATAAAATTTGTATTCGACCATCAATTGCATTTAGTTTAGTAATACACACTAGCATCGTAATTGATATAATTCTAGTTAATATTATCGTTTCGGTTAAGGTCACAGTAAATAGCAATTAAATAAAATAAATCTATGTGAGAACGATACTCGGACTCAAAAGTCCACTTTATTATTTGTCAACGATCCGTACACTTGCGAGAGTTCATATTCGAAATATATTTTCGCATGACAAGTTTTTGGCACCGTTGCCAAGGATTTTACTTTAGTTTGATTTTATTTATTTTGACACTAATTCAGACTTTTATTTTATTTTATTTTTTATTGCTTTTATTTTTTGCTAATTCCGTATTATTAATCTATCTCGTGTTTGCACTCTCTCCCTATACTTTTT